TTATAATGCAAATATAGGTAGCTGGTTAATTACTATTTTCATGATTTTATTATTTTTTTTAAAAAAATTATTATAAATAATAATATGATAAACAAACTGGGAAAAGTTTTTTATAATTCATCTAATGAAAAATTTATTTTTAAATTTTTGTAAATATTGTTAAGTTAAAAATGTATTTCTTATATAATTTGAATTTTACAATATGTGAAAAATAGCAACACATTTTTATTTACTTTACGTATATACATACACAAATAAAAAAACCATATTAACAAATAATAATATATTTCTTAAAAGGTTACTTATATATTATTATTTATTATTTTTTTATTGAGCTAAATTACCAAGTAAATTACTGAATTAAAATTTAAGTTAGGTATTAATATTATACCTAATATGAAAATATTTTTTTTACGTTTAATAAGTTCAAATTTTTCATATTTTCACTTGAGTCCGAAATAGATAATGTATATGTTGTAATATTGTTAAATATGTTTATCAGTTTCTTGTTGGTAATGTTATACATTATATTATTCACTTAGGTAATTACTTAGCATACAATAAGGGATGAAATAGAAAAATATTCAAGTTTTAATATTAATGTTTATTGTATAATTATATTGTTTAGAATACTAAAGTATAGTTTTGGTTTGAATATTTTGTGTGTTTGCAGGCTATGTTAGCTAATATTGCTCAAGGAACTGTTTCTCAAAAGTTGTGTGATACCATACAATCAACATTTTCAAACATCGATCTAGGGGATTTAAAAAATATTGTGTTAGTATTGTAATGTTTTTATAATTTATAAAAAATGTATTTATCAATGATAATTTAATTTAATATAAAAAAAAATTGTTTTATGTACTACAGTTTCTTAACTGAATATTATTTTCTTTTTAGCAATGATTATTGTATTACACTTGCCTGTATTTAGAATTATATGTATAATCTGTCCAGTAGAAAAATTGCCGATTTTATGCATCCCTACGTGACACCCTGTCATCAAGACCCTTACCACTAGCAGGGTGTCGCGTGAGGATGCACAGAACAAATTTTTGTCAGTCCTTGGCGGGTTTTCTTGCTGGACAGATTATATAATTTATGGTTTATAGTCTCATATTAATTGTGAGTCAATTGATAAATTCCTTAATTTATTATTGTTGAGATGATCAATATTTTGTTAACATATCTTTTGTTTATTTTCTCAGGCGTCCAACCACTAGTCCAGAGCATAAAAAAGCAGATGTGGTATCTGAATTACTTACACCCCCAAAGCAGCCACAAACTGTAGATATTCCAGCAGAAAAGGAAGAAAAGACTCCAGTTATATGTAGAGTCTTAAAAAAGTCTGAAAAAGATTCTTACCACATGTAAGATAAATATATTTTTTGTTTATTGTTGATAATTTTAAGGTTATAAGTAGAAGAATGTACAATGATGAATTAGATGAATCATTAACTAAAAAATATATTTAATATACTTAATATTTAGGGTTATAACTACGTATTATTCCAAAGTATTTTAATTTATAATAGATCATCACTTACACACTTTTGACACTAATTATTGTCATACAAATATTTTTTTTATTTCGACCAAGGGCGGTTTTTCTCTCTGGGCAGGCAACTGTCTGATGCCCCCCGACCGGGTATGGCAGAAACCTACGTTGTACCCAATTTGAAGTTCTGCCAAAACCCAACACACAAGTAACAACCAAACCAACGGTACCCTCCCCTACAAACAAACAAACAGCTAATGACCATAGTTGCCGGGCTTAATGATCAATAATAATAAAAAAAAAATATTATTTAGTACTTTTTTAATTAAAACATGGGATATCTTACAAAAAACCGATGTCAACTATAGTTGACATGCAGCTATTGAAGTAAATAGGGTTTCCTGATACGTGGTTTTTTTTTTAACAACCATACAAATTGTATGGTTTTATTCAACGCATTTTTATTTATCATTTGGTATCATTGGTTTTTGAATAGCTCTTATAGATCGCGTTTTACAAAATTATAAAATGAAAATTATTAATTATATATTGCGGTTTTTTATAAGAATACTCAATTTGGCTGTGGTCGTGAACGTGTTAAATATTTGCATATATTCATAAACCTAATGTCTACTGTTTAATTATAATTCTTTTAAAATACAATGTTGTGTTCTTCTATTAATGTTTCAAATTTATGATTTTATGTTTGTTGTTTTTCTATAGGGCTCAATTGTCATCAAATTATATAAGAATTAAATTGGAAGAAGATAAAGGAATATATGAATATAGAGTTGATTTCAATCCTCCAGTTGATGCCAAATCTGCTAGGTTTTTTTTGGTGAATGAACATAGAGATTTATTCCCAGTTAAAACATTTGATGGAACATTACTTTATATACCAACAATGCTACCACAAAATGTAATTATTTATCAAAAAAATATATAACTAAAAACAATTTTGTATAACATATGTTAAATTTTTTACTAGGTAACAAAATTAGTGGGAAAATTAAGAGACGAATCTGAAGTGACACTAACAATAACATTCAAGCGTAAAAATTCTCTGCGTGAATGCATTCATTTTTATAATGTTTTTCTACGCACTATAATGAAGATACTTGGTCTAAGTAGAATTTGGAAGAAGTTGTTATGATCAAAATAAAAGGATACTCATTCCTGAATTCAAGTAGACTATAAATCCAATTTTAAATACTTGTGGTGTAGGTATTGAGATTAATTAAATAATTGTTTAATATTTATTGTAGACTTGAAGTTTGGCCAGGCTACATAACTACTATTGACGAGTTTGAAAATGGTCTTTATATGTGTGCTGAAGTATCACACAGGGTTTTACGTGTACAAACAGTTCTTCAAATAATGTAAGCATCTTCATTTTTTTTATATATGTCAACTGATACCGTTATTGACGTTTTAACAAATACATTTAATGTTTTTAATAATATGTATTAATTTTTTTTTTACTCTATTCAATATTTATTGTGTAATAATTAATGAAATGTATTTATTTGTTAAATGTTAAATTTACAAAATTTATCAAATTTAAAATTTAAAAATGTTTAAAATGTTCAACTTTTTTAACTAATGATTGAAAATTTGAAACAAGGTTCCACTCAAGTAGGCAGGGTTGGACTATCTCAAACAAACGGCCCGGGAAATAATTTTTTAACAGGCCCCTGCTCTCAGCTCACAGCCTGTGCTATGAAGATGTTAGAACTGAATAATTTTTTGCTCACTCAGAGGTATTATAGGGGGGGGGGGTTTGTTGGTATTGCACTATTAAAATAAAGTTAATTTATAATTATATTAAAATAAATTTTATGACTTGTTGACTGTGCTCACTTATATCAATATTCCCACTTTTAAATATTCATATAAATTTTCTAAATATTTCATCATATTCCTTTAAATATTAAATATACTAAATTTATATATACTTAGATATGTATAATAAAATATAAAATATAATTTACTAATTATAGATTAATAAAACATAATAAACATATTTTATTGTATTATAATATATACTTTTTTATATTTACATATTAAATAACTAGGGCCTTTTTAAAAATTTTATTTTAAAGAAAATTAACAAATTATATTTGTTTACATTAAAATACATTTAATATTAATAGTAGTATTAATAATATCCTCGTCCTCAGTCTTTTATATTTAAACGTTACATCCCATATAATTTTGGCTATAGGTAGGCACGGTAATCACAACAGTTAAATGTTACTAATAATATTATATTGTTAGTTTTATTACCATTTAACATATACAAAGGCCTTAGTGCAAAATAAAAAATATAAATAGCCTACTGCTGCCCCCATAGGCTCATTTCATGGCGGCCTACTGGGAAAATCCCGGTGTCCCGTGGCCTAGTCCAACCTTGTAAGTACGTTATAATAAAACCAAAAAATATATAAACACATTTTTTTTTATAGTTATTTTATGTTGAAATTAGGACGGAATTGCATACTAAGTATTTAGAAGAATGATTTTGTTTAAGATATTAATCGTGGGTAGTTTTCTAATTCTCAAGTATAATTATATAAAATATTGAAGTATGAGAATATGATAATAATATTAATTCAACTTACCGAATACCGTATGTAATTAATAACAATATAAATATACATTGAAAACCTCCTCTAACGGACACCTCCCAATAGCAGATACCTTCAAATAGTGGATGTTTTCTAAGGAACCAACTACAACTTTCACAATCTGAACCCTCTAATAGCGGACACAATTGCATCGAACAAGAGTGCTTCCTGTGATATTATAATATATCCTAGGCTGACAAACAGTCTCTGCACAGAATCGTTTTTCGTATTCAATAATTATTATATCCTTGAATTCAAAGTTAACACCATCCATAACAGTGACCCACTTGTAACCTACTGTACAGCAGAGCGACACCCACTTTTTTATTGTTTGTAATCCTTCAATTTTATTATAAAATAAAGGAAAATAAGGATAAGCTCCTTGTCTTATAGATATTATATATCATTAATGACACGGTAATACAAGGTATCTCGATTTTGGTTATTGTTCAAGAAAGGTTTTGAACCGATGAATTCCAACACCAACCATGATAACCATAATATATTAGTAAAATATATTGATAAAAACTAGATTATTACTGTTATTTATATAAACGATCCCAAAGACATAGAAAATTTGATACTATAAACTACCAAAAATTAATTTAAAAAAAATTGAGATACATTGTCATCAACAATATTTTTGTTTATTATAATCAGTCTTATTCAATAATCCTGTAAACCAATAAAATTAATAACTTTTAAGTAATTTTATGTGTGGAAAATATATTTTTATATTTACAATTACAATCTGAATATAATTGTTCTGTTCTTTTACTTGTATTTAAAATTCATAAGTTAAACTAATCACTATGCACCTGCAAGATTTAATTTTAAAAATCTTATTTGTTTATTTTTATAGGACAGACATCATGATGAATGCGAAAACCAACAATTCAGATAGTAAGCAAGAAATAATGGCTGCATTATGTGGTTCTACAGTAATTACACATTATAACCGTAAAACATACAGAGTTGATGATGTAGACTTTACCATGAATCCTTTATCAACTTTTGAACAAAATGGTGTTGAAGTAATATTAATTTGATCTAGATAGGTACTTATGAATATTAAATGTTATTCATTTTTATTTTCTTCTCTGTTTAGGTAACATACAAAGATTATTATAAAAAAATGTATGATGTTGAAATCAAAAATCTTCAACAGCCCATGATTATTACGAAAGCAAAAAAAAAAGATATAAATAGAAAAAATGCAGATGTCAGTAATTAAATAGACAAATTAAAATCGTTTTATCATCAATATTATTTTAAATTTACAGGATTTGAGTATTTGTTGCTTAGTTCCTGAGCTTTGCAATTTAACAGGGTTGACTGATGCGATGAAATCAGACTTTAAACTTATGAAGGCTCTTCAAACCCATACTTTGGTTACACCAGAAGTGCGACAAAATGCTATAGTTGAATTTGTGAATCGTATAAATGGTATACAATTGATTTTATGCCTGCTTAAACTCTATTAAATGATTTAATATAACATATTTGAAAATCATTATTGATAAAATGTCCAATAAAATATTACAGTTTTTATTTATTTTAATATTGAGGTGTATGATAAGTGATAATCAACACATTTGATCATAAATTAATTTTTTATTTTTAATACATTTTATAGCTCATGAAGGAGCTAGTAAGAAATTTAAAGATTGGGGCCTAATGATGCGTCCAGTCCCAGTAAAAATGGAAGGTCCGGTTTATAAAAGAGAAACAATATTACTGGGAAGTAGTATCAGAAAACAAGTTGGAGTAAATATGGACTGGGGAATGGATGTAGCAAAAAATGCAATGTTTGTTGCTGTAAGTATATAAAATATGTAAGAAATGTTTCTTGCAGTTTGTAGCTTATTTAAAAGCTTCAAACTTTAACTTCTAAAAAATTATAGTATTAATGTATAAATTAATATATATTATAAATATAAATAATTCAGTTAAAATATTTTTTTTTTATAAATTGTTATTATTTTGTAGGTGAGCATGTTAAATTGGGCAATTATGTATAATCAAAGAGATGAAACAACAGCTAAATCATTTTGCAAACAATTAGTTTCATGCGGCCGTCCTCTTGGTATGGAAATTAATCCTCCAAAACCAATTAAAGTTCAGGGGACAAATCCAGAGGTCTTTGTTAGTACTATAAATAATACATTGAAGAATAATTCAGAACTACAACTAGTTGTTATTATATTTCCAAATCAAAGAGAAGACCGTTATAATGCTGTGAAACGGATTTGTTGTTCAGAAATTGGAATTCCATCTCAAGTACTGAGAGAAACTACAGTTGAACTTATTATTATTATTATATCTTACTGTATTTTATATTTTAGGTAATTGTCTCAAGGACATTATCCAAGCCAGAGCGGTTACAATCAATTACTCAGAAGATTGCTTTACAAATTAATTGTAAATTAGGTGGTGCTTGTTGGGCTATTGACATCCCGTTGGTAAGGTTTTCCTATATTAAATTTATTTTCTAAATAAATATATTGATATTTTTTTTACAGTATTGATAATCATTTATTATAATTATAAAATATTTTATTAACTCAAGATAGTGCGATAGTCAATCTGTCTTACAGGCATATTATTCTATGTTTTGTTTCCCAAAATAAAGCTTATGGTGGAAACATAAACAAAAACTGAAATGCTGTCAATACTTTAAATAGATAAAATCTTCTATTTTGTTGCTAATGTTTAGTGTACTATAATTTTTCTTTTATTTTTTAGAAAAATACTATGATAGTAGGAATTGATGTATACCACGAGAAAGGTAAACAAATGAGTAGTGTTGTTGGTTTTGTAGCTTCAATGGACAAGACATTTACTGAATGGTATTCAGTCGCTGCAATGCAAAGGAGTACCCATCAAGAACTTATGAAGTCTGTGCAAGATGCGTTCCATAAAGTGGTGACGCAGTTTAAAGCAGTTAGTTTTTTTTGGATTACTATAATTTATGTTTTGATATTGTTTTAAAATTAATTACAATACTTTATTCTAGAAAAATGGGTTGTTGCCTGAAAAAATAATTATTTATAGAGATGGTGTATCTGATGGAGATTTAAAACAAGTAGAAGAAATTGAACTATCAGATTTGATTGAATCATTTAAAAGTTACCCTGGACAATATAATCCAATGGTTTCTTTAATAATTGTGCAGAAAAGAATTAATACTCGTGTTTTTCAAGTAATATATTATGAAAGATTTAACCAGAACTTTGAATTATTGACACACTTTAATTAACTCATTATTTTGTTAAGCCAAATTAGGTAAAAATCAATATGGTAGTTCGTATTAAAATCTGTAGCTATTAATAGAAAAAAATGTTCTTACGTTATTGGTTAATGATTTGTGTTAAGAGGATGCTACACAGCCAGTTGTCTCTGTCTTACAAATGCATAACATCAAATTTACGGTCAGCAGACGTTTAACCCCGTTTGTTTATAAATTAGAGTGAATTGACCTATTATGAAACTTGATGGTAAGAACATTATTTGTGTTTGTAAGTGGTTTTTTTTTTACCATAGTTCAATTTTTTAGCAAATTATGTATGTTTAATTTAACTTAAATTAAAAATACTTATAACTTGCTTGAAAACTGAAATATCTTAAAAATCCTACCTACACACACAGTTAATGTTTTTATTATTAAGTCTCACTCTAATATTCAAACTAACTGAGTTAATCGTGATCTGCTGAGCGTACATTTGGTAAGTTATGCACCTGTAAGACAGAGCAACAAATATCTGTGCTTGCTGTGTTGTCTCCGTCTTAGATCTTTGTAAGACGGGGGCAATATATGCGGGTGTGGCGTCTTCTTAAAAGCATTAGTCTAATATAACAAGTATTACATTATTATTGATTATAATTCTTTATTTACATTTAATATCATCATTAACTATCATTTATGTTATACCTTTAATAAATTATCAATTAGAAATCAGTTATAAATAAAAAATTTGTAGCTAAATTTTTTCATGGAAATCTGTTATTATAATATTGTTTTCTTTTTACCTATAGTACGGGCCATGAAAACGTGTGGATGATTCTAGCCCTCATTGGCGTTTTTTTCGGTAACACTTTTAAGTTTAACTACTATAGCCCTACTCAAAAACGCAGCTGGGGTGCTAAAGAATCATTCACACGTTTTCGTGGCCCGTACAATAAATTGCATATTATGTTATGGATTATTAATTTATGTAAAAAGAAATGTTTGTTTTTTTTTATTACTCAATTTTGACAAATTAAATATTTTTGTTATATCTAGTACGCTAATGAAAAATATTCAAATCCAAGTTCTGGAACTGTTATTGATAATACTGTAACCAGAAGAAATTATTTCGATTTTTTCTTGGTCTCCCAACATGTTCGTCAGGTGAAGTATATTTCTTTTGTATAATGTTGTTTTTTAAAATTTATCTTAGCTTCTTTTTGTTATTAATTATTAAAATTATTTTTATGTACAGGGTACTGTTAATCCTACTCATTACATTGTACTAAAAAATGGATGTAATTTAAGTGTTGAAAATATTCAAAGATTATCCTACAAATTGTGTCACTTGTATTATAATTGGTGTGGTACAGTAAAAGTTCCTGCTCCTGTTCAAGTAAATATAAAATATGAATATGAAATTATTTAGATATAAATACAACATATTTTGTTGAAGTCTTGAGCATGAATTATAAAATAGATTTAGTTATATATGATATTTTTAAGAATACAAATATAAGGTACGGTGAAACTTGTATAAAGATGTTAGGTAGTGATGGGAAAGTTTTTTTTTTTTAAATGAACTAGTTCAAGTTAAAGACATTAAATTTGAACTAGTTCAAATTCTAATTCATAGTTTTTAAAATGAACTATTTCATGTTATTATCAAGAATTATGATAATATTATAAAGTAGTAGTTAAAATAATGTTGAGTAATAAACAAAAATAAAATCATAATTAAAAATAATTTTGATTGTGTAGTAAAAATAGTTTTATATTTTTCCAATCATCCTGTATTCTGTGGAACACACTATACAGCATACAATCATTTGTATGAACGTGTTAGTGTTGGGAATGTTATTTATAACATTTTATTTTATGATGTCAAGTTACAACAGAATTATAATAATATTTTATACTATTCTTATCAGTTATCGGCATTGTAATTTCGGGTCGAAAATTATTAACATAATAATATCCAAACTAAACATAAACATAATTAAAAACAAATTATATCTTTCGATTATTGAGGAAGACCCTGATGTTCTATGAAAATTCAATTTTCAATTAACAGACTCAAAACGTTGAAGATCATAATAAATAAGAACTTAGTTCACGTTCAAGTTCATTTCTTGAAAATTGAACTCGTTAATGTCAAGTTCACACAATACTTAATATTTTATTACTGATCACATGTCAGGCACACGTGGCTTAGTTAATTGTTCCTGAATATGTATCCTAAAGTTCATTAGTATTTTATTACATCAGCCTCTTCAATTTAGATGTAAATGCTTATCCTATCAAAGCATTTTAAGTATTCAGAAGTTTTTATTCCCAAGCTGATTTAACTTTTTTACGGTTATTGCAATAAACATTTTCCTCCCCTTTAATAGTTAAACAAGTTATAATATTAAATAATAATATATCCATTTTAATTTTTATATTATTTTTTTCTTGCTTTTAGTAATTATTTTAGCCTACTTTGGAAAAATTTCAAAGGATGTCCACTACATTTTAATAATAACTTACAATGATAATTTTTATGAATTATGAACTATTACTAATGAAACAAAATTAAAACCATTGTTTGGAACAATAAATTCTTAATGTAAAACATTAAAATTTACTAAATTTTTTTTAAATAATAGGCATATAATACAGATCTTAATAAGATTATTTAATATAATAAATATTTTTATTTAACAATTCTTAACATTTTAATTTTCTTTGCCACTCTAGGCAGCTGTCTACACCCCCCTAATGGGAAATCCAACTTTGTTTTTATTTCATTGAGTGAACATTATGGGGGTTTTCATTGTAAAGTAACATCATTGGGTATGACGGCTCACAAATCCTAATGCTATTTGAAGAAAAATGGGAACATGGCCTTTTGAACTCATGGGCACTGCCATTTTATATTATTTATGAGAATCAGCCAACGGCTCATATCATATATTTCAATAATTGATAGTTGATACTTGATCCCATTATGATGACACAGAAATAATAATAAATTATATTATATTTTACTAATAATAATTAAAATTAAAATAATTTTTGAACGTGTAAAGCAAATAATTATAAGTTATTAGTGTTGTTGTATAGCCGTAAGTCGTATTATAGGTTATAGGATTAAAACGTAAACAAGCAACAAACCGTTTGTTGTAAAAATGTTTATAACAACACTCCTAAATCACCAAGCTGAGTGTTGCTTCTATATTATTCTATGGTAACATAGATTTGTGCATAAATAAAGTATTAATCAATATGCTAATAGTTATTACTTGTATTATTACCAAAGTATTTAAAAATAACCAAATAAAAACAATTAATGATATAAAAACATTGGTAACATAATTTTGTATGCAAATGCAATGCTATAACAATTGATAATGTTATGAGATAATTAATTTTCAAATGGTTACCCTGAACAATTAAAAAAAGTGGAGATCCCGATTCTTGCACCGGATTAGAATTTTTCAGGACAAATTTCACTGTATATAGTATATTTATTATTTAAGCATGTATTAGAATATTCTTTATAATATAATTATATTTAACTATTATTATTATTTTAATTCAAATTTGTATTATTAATGATTTTTTTTTTTTTAGTATGCACATAAACTGGCATACCTTATAGGGCAAAATGTTAGACAAATGCCAAGTGATAAATTATGCAACTCTCTATTTTTCCTGTAACGGACATGTACAATTTTGGACGACCAGGGAGGTCTTTTCAATTTATATTTACATGACGTTCACTACTAACTTTTTTTGATTATCAAGACTATTACAGAAATAGAACAACAATTATTTTTATTATTATTTTTTTTGTAAGTTTTCTAGTTGATAATTTTCACCTATTTTGTGATTGTCAATAATATTCAACTCTTAAAAATTACTTATATGAAAAACCTTCGTTCCAAATGTTATGTACTTTGGTTTAAAAAGTAAATTGCCCTTTTTTATTATGACTAAAAAACCTTGTTTTATTTTTTCCTTACATTTTACTCAATATTAATTTATTGTAGTAGTATGAGCAAGCTACACATTTTTTGATAAATTACAACAATAAAATGTGAACAACTCGAAGTCAAAAACATTATTTTGCAAAACAAAAATTAAAAAGCGGGTAAGTGGATGCCGTTCTGCTGTACAGAAGGTTGCATGTGGGTCAATGTTGATTGGATTGTATCAAACTTGAATTCAATGATATAATATTATTGTATAAGAAAAACAATTCTGATCGGAGACGGTTTGTCAGTCTGGATATTTTATATTGTTATTATATATTATATCGTGTAAGTTGAATTGATCTTATAATATTATTATTTTTTATTTGTTTCTATTTTGATAAACAAGCATTAGAAATTAAAATCCCATTTTTAGCGGTTTTTCATAATTTATCGGTGGTTTCTCCCATCACATTAAATAACTATTGAGAAAATCGAAAAATGACCGAATAATTTTTCAGTGTCATTTAAACATCACAGTTAAACTTAGTTGTTAGTTTATTAAATGGTCGTTTTAATTTCAGTATTACTTTGGATTTTTTTTGATTTTATGTTTTTAAAATTTTTTTTTTGTATAAACCATAATATGTAAACAAAATAATGCTTCAATTTCCAATTTTAATATCTTTGCAATGATAAATCTAGTAAATCTAGTACGTAATTTTGAAAGGTCAAAATTAAAAATTTAATGTAGTTTTCAAAAGTGATGGAAAAACTAAAAAAAAAAAATAATGCAAAACAGGAATTCTTGTGCAAAATCAGTTTGCAGTTTGCAATAAAAACAATTTTGTTTTTTTCGCATAACTCAGAAACGAAACAGAAACAGAATAATTGTAGACACTTGACATTTTCACTATATATTAAAAATATCATTTTCTGTACATGATAATATTTTTTGTAATTTTTGTCTCTTTAAGTTATTTCTAGGCATAAGATATTTTTGATCTTTATTAATTTTTTTTCTAATTGATTAATGCCGGTGAAAATTTTTCGCTCTGTCAAAAATTTGAAAATTAAATACTAGGTTCATCATAAATTTAAAATTGTTATTAGTGTAATTAAAAATAAAAATTTAGAGGAAGTTCACAATCATTTTTATAAGTGATATGACTCAAATTTTTACAAAATTCGTTATAATCACAAAAATATGTACTAATAATTCTAAAACATTTAATTAGAACACTACTTTTACCTGCAAATATCTAAATTACACTTTTATTTTGAATATTAACATCTTGCTCACAAGATATTTTCATTAAACTCTCAAGAGCCCAGACGATCATCTTGTGATATAATTATAATTAATTTAGAAAATGTTCGCTCTATGTTAAACGTAATGTATAGATAAATAGATAATTTTATAAGTAAATATAAATTTGGAAATATATTTGCTGGTTAAGGCAAATAAAATAACTTATATTTCTCCTTGTACAGTCGTACTTGAGAAAAACCATATTTTGTATGTACACATTTCTAAGTTAAATTTACTAACTAGTTCATCAAACTCAGTAATTATCATGCAGTACTATTTCGAATTTCTTCTGTGCCTCAAAGTCGAAAAATTAACCTTAAAGTGGCTTTCTGTGGTCTCATAGTATTTAGAGGATATACACAATAACAAATTGCCGTTTTAGCTTTTCTATGGTTTTTTTTATTCAAATTGCAAATCGATTTTACATTTTACGAGCGATGGTGGGGGGGGAATGTGGAAATATGGTTACAAATTTGTACAAATTATATAACAATAATTTGTGTTCACGATGAGTAGTCGAAATAATGCTTCGATTTTCAACTTCAGTATCTTGTTCGATGAGAAAGTAAATCTAGTTGGTGCATTGATGAGGTAAAAATGTCCAGTATTTTCCAAAGCGCAGAAAAAAAAAAAAGAAAAATTAAGGAAAAACGGGAATTTTTACGCAAAATCGATTTTTCAGAAAATTGAATTTGGTTTTTGGTGTAACTTTAAAACAAATGACCGTAGGTACATGCAATTTTCACTGGTTGTTTATATTTGCATCTTCTATACACGATAACATTTTCAAAATATTTTGATTTATTTTGAACAGTTTAGGGACATTTTCATTTTTCGTTTTTTTTTAGTTTTTTTTCTAGAAATATCAATACAATTTTATTTGTTGGTTGCGAAAGCTTGAAAATTTAATAGAAGGCTCCTAATATATTGCTTCAAAGGCAGATGAAAAATATTAAAAATCCTTAGTCACAATTTTTTTTTATAAGCATTTAAAGTTCAAAAATTGACAAAATATGGAAAAATCACGAAAATTAGCAAATTATTTTGAGTTAAGAATTCGTAAAAATTTTTCTTTTTAAATCTAAGATTTGAAAATCTAATACAAGATTACTCATAAGATTGTCTACCTTTATCAATAAAAAAATCTCTACCGGAAAGTCAAATTAAATTTTTATGAGCGTTTGAAATTCAAATTTTTACAACATTGGATATTCACTCGATTTCTCATGTAGTGATTTCCTTTTTTTGTTGTAATTTAAAAACGAATTACTGTAGATACATGAAAATTTCACTGAATGTTTATATTAGCATTTCCTATACACCATACAATTTTGAAAATATTTTGACTCTTTTTGAGCCGTTTACGGACATTTTCAGTTTTCAATTTTTTTAGTTTTTTTTTTCTATAAATATCAATTAAGTTTTATCTGTTGGGCCAAAAAGTGTAAAAATTTAATACAAGGCTCCTGATATATTGTTACAATATCAGTTGAAAAATATTAAAAATACATAGGCACAATTTTTTTTTTATAAGCATTTTAACATCGAATTTTGACAGAATTTTTCAAAATCTCGAAAATTATTAATCATCGTAATTAATAAATTATAAAATGTTCAGTTTTTATAGCTAAGGATGGAAAATTTAAAACAAGATTCCACGTAAGTACCTAGTTAATTCTCTTACCGAAAAATCTAAAAAATATACAATCACAGTTTATTTTTATAGTCATTTTATGTTCAAATTTGGACAAAATTACATATTAAAAAACCTAGTTATTTTGTTGTGATTATATAATATTATTCGTGGGTACCTACTTGAAACTTCTAAAGTGTACTATTATATATCTATGATAGTATCAGGGTTTGTTATTGATGTTGATGTATAACGTGTTATAAGTACCTAATGGATATTGTGATAATGTGATATGATTAATTTGGAATTTATTACAGGTCAATTTTTTTTTTTAATACCATAGATAATAGATATGTATATAATTTGTCTTAAACCTAGACTGACCTACCGTCTTCGCTCAGAATCGTTTTTCTTATACAATGATATTGTATCATTGAATTCAAATTTAATAGCATCCATTATACAGTGACCCACTTGTAACCTACTGTACAGCAGAGTGACATCCACTTACCTACCTTTTTTTTTTTTTTATTCAAATTGCAAATCGATTTTAGATTTTGATGGTGGGATGGTGGGGGGGGGGTGTATGAATTTTGGAATTGTGGATACAAATTTGTACAAATTATATAACAATCACCGATGTGGTTTTTAAGTGGACTTTCAAACTTTGTGTCTACACTATAAGTAGTCGAAATAATGCTTCGATTTTAAACTTCAGTACCTTGTTCGATGGAAAAGTGAATCTAGTTGGTGCATTTCCAGTATCTTAAAATTAAGGAAAACCGGAAGTTTTACTCAAAAGTTTTCCTCTATAAATGCGGTTTACCATACCCGAAACCACCATTATTACTCGTAGGTATATTCACCTAATTATTACAATAATTATAAAAATTACTGTACACTGTTTTGCCTTTGAAATTCCATTAAATATTAACAGGAACATATTATAAACTATGATAAGAACTTAGAATGACACAAATAAATAATAAACAATTTCATTGACGGAAAAGACTGATTTATTTTGCAATGTCAATACATATTGTTACAATTAAAAATAAATTATTTATTGATGTACTGTTTGGGCTATGGAATTTTTGAGTTTGAGATTGATGTGGACTTGAGTTAACAGTTCTCGAACAAAACAAAAAATAATCAACTAACATAATATACTCAAGTATAGAAGTTTAGAATCTTGGTAGAACTAAATAATAAATTTTAACCACATTACAAAATTTGTTATACTTTGCAGTTTACAGAGTTGTGAAATATATTTTTTAAATCATATTTAAATTAATAAAAGAATACATTGATTCAGAAAGTATTTAATATACATTTCAAAGACTTAAGTTTTAAGAAAAAATTTTTAAGAAATAAATACACTTTTTATAATTTTAATTTTAACAATTTAATTGTTCAAGTAGGATTAATTAACTATGAAGTACAGTAGAACTCCGATTATCCGAACGCCAATCAAACGGACGTCCAATTAACCGGACGAAAAAAAAAGATCCTAAGCTAAAGATTATTTCATAATATTATGTTATACTGTTATAGCTGGGAATGTTGGAACATAATAGTGGAGTACCCACTTACAACATTTTTGTATTTATTGATAGTATTTAGGTACATCAAAATAATCAAAATATCATAGATTAAGTCTTTTATATTTTGGGGGTCCACATTTTTAACTTGGAGCTGCAAAAGTCCCCTGTGCACCCCCCCCCCCCACCAAATGGTCAGTTGTTGTCTAATCGTCACACAGTTTAGTCTGTCAATTATTACATTATTATAACGAGTGAAT